AAAAAAAAAAAAAAAAGAATATGTATATTCTTTTAACCTATCACTTAATGTTTGTATAAAAAGCCAAGAATGAAAATTACCTTTATACCTTGCCAGATTTTAGGTGTTTTATGTATGTGTGTGTTAGTCCTGGGGCTTGAACTCAGGACCTAGATGCTGTCTTTGATCTATTTTTGCTCAAGGATAGCACTCTACCACTTAAGCCACAACTCTACTTCTGGCTTTTTGCTGGTTAATTGGGTGTAAGAGTCTCACAGAATTTTTTTTGCCAGGGCTGGCTTTGAACCATCATCTTCAGATCTAAGCTTCCTAAGTAGCTAGGATCCGAGTTTTGTGTTTTTTTTTTTTTGTTGGTCATGGGGCCTAAACTCTGGGCCTGGGTGCTGTCCCTCAGCTCAAGCCACAACAGCACCACTTCCAGGTTTTTCTACTTATGTGTGCTGAGGAATCGAACCCAGAGTCTCATGCTGCAAAGCAAGCATTCAACCACTGAGCCACCTTCCCAGCCTCCTCTCAGTATTTTTAAAATCAAACTTTGTTTTTTTTTTAAAATGTAGCAGAGTACAAATGTGAAATAAATGCACTGAATATCTTTAGTGTGTCTGTGACATGAAAGCTTATGCTGACAGTTTTTTAGAATATTACATATTTAAGAACCAGAGTTCTTAGGCTGAGTATGATGGTGTGTGCCTATAATCCCATCTAGGGGAGGCTGAGCAGGACGATTGGTGGAACCAAATAGTTTGGGGCCAAACCTGGTCAACTCAAAGCAAGAAAAAAGAGCCAAGCCAGGTGCTGGTGGCTCATGCCTGTCATCCTAGCTACTCAGGAGGCTGAGACCTGAGGATCATGGTTCAAAGCCAGCCTGGGCAGGAAAGTCCATGAGACTCCTATCTCTGAATAACCACAGAAGTCACAAGTGGAACAGTGACTGAAGTTCAGTACTAGCCTTGAGCAGAAAAGCTTAGGGACAGCACCCAGAACCTGAGTTTAAGTCTCAGGATAGCACGAAAAAAAACAAGAAAAGTTAATGAATGAATGAATATATAAATGGATAGGGGGCATGGCTCAAGTACTAGAGCACTTGCCTAACCAATGTAAAACTCTTGAGTTCAAATCCCCAGTGCCGCAGAAGGAAAGAAGGAAGAGTTATGGTACTAATGTACAGTGATAAACATAGTGGTACTGTTGCCTCCCTTCTTCAATTAATCATAATCTTGTCATTAGGATTGCATAAAGATTAATGAGGATTAATGTATTTAATGCAAATTCAGTATATATTTTTGTCTTTGTTGTTAGGATTAACTTAGAGCTTAACTATGTAATTCATCTCAGTTGTTAGGCACAGCAATTTGCATGTTCTTTTTTAAAATTACTGATATAAAGCTACTTCATTCTTCTAAAACACAAACTATACATAAGGAAGAATTCAACTGCCATGTACTGGTAGCTCACAGCAGTAATCCTAGCTACTTAGAAGTCTGAGATCTAAGGATTGTGGTTCGAAGCCAGCCTGGGCAGGAAACTCTATGAGACGCTTATCTCTAATACACTACTCAAAAAAGCCAGAAGTGGTGCTGTGGCTCAAGTAGTAGAGCATTAACCTTGAGCAAAAGCAGCTTAGGGACAGCACCCAGGCCCAGAATTCCAGCCCCAGGACTGGCAAAAACAAAACAAAAACAAAAAGAATTCAACTACTGGTACCCTCATCATGAAAGATTATTATGGCTTGGCTTGAGGAAATGTAAACACATTTTCCAGAAGTACTGACTTACAGAGTCTATGTCTAACTAACTTTGCAATTTCTTATTTACATTTAGCTTCATCAAACAGAATTATTGAAAGGATATTCTCTGGGGCAGTAACAAGGTAAGAAAAGTAAAGTATAATATCATAGCATTCTCATTTTTACAAGGCTTCTTGCATAATTTGGTGGCATTAATGAATAAAGTATATCCATGGCTTGATGTTTTACATATTTTGTTGTTGTTGTTGTTGTTTGGCCAATCCTGAGATTTTTAACTCAGGGCCTGAGAGCTGTTCCTGAGCCTTTGTGCTCAAGGCTAACACTCTAGGACCTGAGACACAACGTAACTTCTGGCTTTTTCCAATAGTTTATTGGAGATAAGAGTCTCATGGGGACTTTTCTGATCACTTCAAACCTCAATCCTCAGATCTCAGCCTCCCACCCAAGTAGCTGGGATTACAGGTGTGAATCAATGGTGCCCAGCTGGAAATTCTTTAATATTAGTATTAGTTTTATAGCTAAATACACATAATAGAACTTGATCCTACTACTGATCATTTGCATTCAGTTCAGAAAGCTGAGCTTTCATGTTTTAACATTGTAAGCCTTTAAGAACAAAATAGGGGGCTGGGAAGGTGGCTCAGTGGTAGAGTGCTTGCCTTGCATGCATGAGGTCCTGGGTTCGATTCCTCAGTACCACATAAGCAGAAAAAGCCGGAAGTGGCGCTGTGCCTTAAGTAGTAGAGCGCTGGCCTTGAGCTTAAGAGTGGAGAGACAGCACCCAGGTCCGGAGTTCAAGCCCCACGACTGACCAAAAAAAACAAAAATAGGATTGCACTTGTTGAAATATCCAGCTAAGAGTGGAATTATTTCATTTCTTAGCCACTCAGGCAAATTTATAACCATGTGTTTTCTTCAGAGGAAAAACAGTACAGAAAGAGGGAAGAATGAGCTACGCAGATTTTGTCTGGTTTTTGATCTCTGAGGAAGACAAACGGAACCCCACCAGGTAGGACTTCGAAGCTTTCCGATACACATGCACAAAGCACGTGATGCATACCTAGTGAAACAGATGCATGCTCAGGATACTGAGATGGGTGAGACCTAGTTTCAGTCACTTAAAGCTCAGTCTAGAACATTCCCATAGAATCCAAGGTCATCACATGCCAAGAAAGGCTGTTCACCACAGAACCAAAGCTTAACCCAGTGTGAGCTGGCCTACAGAGTGTAAGTGGGACTAGCAGTCATTTATACATTGTGTGGCAAGAGATACTCCTGAGTTTTACTTCTTTTATTGAGGGTTCAGTAGAAAATTGGTGAAGGAAAGCCAAGCAAATTGTGGATGACAATAACATAAGACCCTGTCCTTATTCTCCTCTTTGGTGTGAGGAAACATCAGTTGTTTGAAGATAGATGTAGCTCTTCCTCCACACTATGGTATTATTTGTGTACACCAGTAAACTAGGTTACTCTTCTTTTCGCCTTTGCTTGTGTAAGAGGGTCCTGCACACACTCACCACTGGTGTGTAGTACCAAAGGAAGCAGGGGAGGCTGGGAAGGTGGCTCAGTGAAGGAATGCTTGCCTAGCATGCACAAAGTCCTGGGTTCGATTTCCTCAGCACCACATAAACAGGAAAAGCTGGAAGTGGTTCTGTGGCTCAAGCGGTAGAATGCTAGGCTTGAGCAAAAAGAAGCTCAGGGACAGCGCTGAGTTCAAGCCCCAGGACTGGCAAAAAACACAAAACAAAAAACCAAAGGAAGCAGCAGAGGGAGTCCTTGATGCCGTCTGGCATATCTCACTCAGTTCTTTTTTTTTTTGCTGGTCATGGGGCCTGAACTCTGGGCCTGGGCGCTGTCCCTCAGCTCTTCAGCTCAAGGCTAGCGCTCTACCACTGGAGCCGCAGCACCACTTCCGGCTTTTTCTGTTTATGTGGTGCTAAGGAATCGAACCCAGGGCCTCATGCTTGCAAGGCATGCGCTCTACCGCTGAGCCACCTTCCCAGCCCCTCTCACTCAGTTCTTTATTGTGGTTCCAAAAGTTCTGTATACTGTTTAGAAACCATTGAGCTAGAAATAAAATGAGCCTTTTTTTTTTTTTTTTTTCAGTTGTGGGGCCTGAACTCTGGGCCTGGGCGCTGTCCCCAGCTCTTTAGCTGTAGACCAGCGCTCTACCCACCTGAGCCTCAGCCCCACTTCCGGCTTTTTCTGCTTATGTGGTGCTGAGGAATTGAACCCAGGGCCTCATGCATGCAAGGCAAGCACTCCACCACTGAGCCACCTTCCCAGCCCCAGATGAGCCATTTTTAAGACAGCCTGTTAACATTTTTAAATAACTTTGCCATTCCAAATGTGGTTGGCAGAATCCACTTCTCAGCAGTTCATGGAACCTTCTCCAAAATAGATCACATTTTTAAGCCATAAAGCAATTCTTAACAAAGATAAGAAAACTGAAAATAGTTTCTTCTGTCTCAACAGATCTTAATGAAATAAAATTAGACACCATTACCAAAAGAACTGTAGAAACTATACAAACATATGGAGATAGAGCAATACACTTTGAAATGATCAGGGGGACATGACAGATTTAAGGAAGGAACTTGTAAAAAATCTTAGAAGCAAATGAAAATGAAAATATATCAGAAAGTATAGGATTCAGCAAAAGCATTTATTAGATGGAGGCTCATAGCTATGAGTGCTAATTTTAAAACTATCAAAGAAATCTCAAATAACATAATGTATCTCAGGCTCCTGGACTACAAAACCTGCCCAAAATTAGTAGATGTACAGGAATAATAAAGATTATAACCAAAATTAATGAAATGGAAACTGTAAGAATAATAAAAAACGGGCTAGGAGTGTGGCTTAGTGGTAGGGTGCTTGCCTAGTGTGCATGAAACCCTGGGTTCGATTCCTCAGTACCACATACACAGAAAAAACTGGAAGTAGTGCTGTGGCTCAAGTGGTAGAGTGCTAGCCTTGAGCACAGAAAGGCTCAGGGACAGTGCCCAGGCCCTGAGTTCAAGTCTCAGGACCAGCAACAACAAAAAAATAATAATAAAAAGATGGGCTGGGAAGGTGGCTCAGTGGTAGAGCATTTGCCTTGCATCCATGAGGCCCTGGGTTTGATTCCTCAGCACCACATAAGCAGAAAAAGCCAGAAGTGGCTCAAGTGGTAGAGTGCTAGCCTTGAGTTCAAGAGTAGAGGGACAGTGCCCAGGCCCAGAGTTCAAGCCCCACAACTGACCCAAAAAAAGAATCAAAGAAACAGAGTTGGTTCTTGGAAAAGGGCTAGCTGACAGGCTCGTGCCTGTGTCATGGCTACTGAGTCTGAGATGCATATTCTCATTTATGGTCAGCAAAGGCAGAAGAGTCTGTAAGATTATCTGCAAAAAAAAAAAAAAAAAAGCCGGGTGCTAGTGGCTCACGCCTTTAATCCTAACCACTAAACAGGCTGCAATCTGAGGGTTGTGGTTGGAAGCCAGCCAGGACAGGAAATTCTGTAAAACTATCTCCAATAAACAAGTGGAAGTAGAGATGTGGCTCAAATGGCAAAGCACTAGCCTTGAGCAAAAGAGCTCAGGGACAGCGCCCAGGCTGAGATCAAAACCCAGGGCAACACCAAAAAGAAAAAAGAAAAGCAAGCAAGCACAGTTGCTAGAAGACCTGATGGGTTCAGTGTGGACAGATGGCTGGTGGCGGAGAGTGGATTAAAAATTGTGCTATTTACCTGACTTATGAAATGGTAACCCCTCTCTATACCACCTTCATAGTAACCATAAAATTGTCTTTAAAACAAAAAAAAAAGCTGAAAGCTCTCCTTGAGCAGTTTCTGTTAGGAAGTTGGAAAGGGTATGCAAATGAAGTGGGTTGGAAGTGGAAAAGCTGAAACCTCCTCTTTCAAAGAAAGAGCACCAGATAAAGCAGAGCTGTGTGCTGAGCAGGGTACAAAGCGGCCACCGGACATGGAAAGCTGCAGGTTCTGTGAATGGGAAAATGGGCAAGAGGGTCGGTCGGCCAGCTCTTTTCTCAGGCATCTGTCTACAGAGGACAGATGTGGACAGAGGCAGCTGTGGGATGCAAGCAGCACAGGCCCACAACTCACAAGCACCACCCTTGTCTCCTAGCATCGAGTACTGGTTCCGGTGCATGGACCTGGACGGGGACGGCGTCCTCTCCATGTACGAGCTGGAGTACTTCTACGAGGAGCAGTGCGAGCGCATGGAAGCCATGGGCATTGAACCCTTGCCGTTCCATGACCTGCTGTGCCAGATGCTGGACCTGGTGAAGCCAGCCAGAGATGGTGAGACCCAGTGAACCGCACTTGGCAGAGGTGGGGCCCACACACCCTACGTTGTCCTAACTTAACCTTCCAGTGTCTTCGGTACAGGCTTCCCCAACTGTAGAAATGAGAACATGTCTCCTAGACAGCAGAGATGGCAGATCCACTGTTAAGGAAATAAGAGCTTCCCTCCTTCCCCCCCTCCCCCCCGCCCCCGTAGCTTGTGGGGCTTGAACTCGGAGCGTGGACGCTGTCCCTGAGCTTCTGTGCTCAAGGCTAGAGATCTGCCACTTGAGCCACAGCACCACTTCTGGCCTTTTCTGTGTAAATGGTATCGAGGAATCGAACCCAGGGCTTCATGCATGCTAGGCAAGCATTCTACTACTGAGCCACCTTCCCAGCCCCCCAACTTATGATTTTTACATGTGAGTATTGTAATGAAGATACACATGCCCTTTTCAGCATAGGTGGTGCATCAGTTGGTGAAACTTACCAGGTGCGTTTGTGTTTGCATAGGCAGAATTACGCTGCGGGATCTGAAGAAGTGCAGGATGGCTCACATCTTCTATGATACTTTCTTTAACCTGGAGAAGTACCTGGACCATGAGCAGAGAGATCCCTTCGCAGTGCAGAAGGTACCAGTATAAGATGAGCTTTTGGGGTGCTTCAGGAGCAGGGCCAAGGCTACAGATGAGAATCACATCTGTATGGAAGAGTCTCCACATTTAAAGAGCTAATGTTTCCAATAGTTCCTCACTTAATGAGAAGATTAGAAAGCTTGAGGCCCAGATTCAGTCTCCAGCATCAGAGAAAAGTGGGGAAGAATGGGGAAGGAGAGAGAACACCAAGAATACCTCTGTGCCCACAGCCTATCTTCCAGTTTAAGTGATCTGCATGTGCCTGAGTACTTTCCACTGAGCCAACTCTCAAACGCCAGTGAGAAACTAGTTGCAGAAAGTTAGTGTTGAGCAGGGCGCTGGTGGCTCACGCCTGTCATCCTAGCTACTCAGGAGGCTGAGATCTGAGGATCGCGGTTCAAAGCCAGCCCTGGCAGGAAAGACCTTGAGACTCCTATCTCCAATAAACCACCAGAAAACCGGAAGTGGCGCTGTAGCTCAAGTAGTAGAGCGCTCGCCTTGAGCTGAAGAGCTGAGGGACAGCGCCCAGGCCCAGAGTTCAACCCCAACAACCAAAAAAAAAAAAAAAAAAAGAAAGTTAGTGTTGAAAACTTTGTCCTAACTTTTAAAAATACATCAGTGGGCATATCTTTGTTGGAACCCTGTTAGGCTTGGCGTAATGGGACCACATGTCTTGGAGATGTCATAGTGAGTAACTTCCCTTCAGGGGAGAGATGCAGACACACTTCAGAGAACTACACGCATCTTCCCATGCTGGGGCTCCTGTGTGTGACTCTGTCCTAAATGCTGCCCCATCTCATGGCATCTTCCCATGTACAAGACCCTGCTGCACCTGCCATTAACTCTGGGCATACCAAACACAGAATATCACCACTTGCTGCAGCTTTCCTGTGTAAGATACAAACACTCCACAGCTAAGGAGGGCTGTGCCCATCACTTAACCACAGGAAGCTTTCAGCACTTTTCCTCTTAACACCTGCTGCACATCTGCTGGGCCTCAGTCACGGACAGTAACCCTCGGAGAACAGCTGTGACCCGAAGGCTCCCAAGGGCCCTTCTATGCCAGAGAGAAAAGGGAATTCCCAATCTCAAGCTTAAGATGCATTTTAGAAATATTAATGGAAGCCGGGTGCCGGTGGCTCATGCCTGTCATTCTAGCTACTCAGGAGGCTGAGATCTGAGCATCACTGTTCAAAGCCAGCCCCAGCAGGAGAGTCTGGGAGACTTTTATCTACAATGAACCACCAGACAACAAGAATTGGCGCTGTGGTTCAAGTGGTAGAGCACTCGCCTTGAGCTGAAGAGCTCAGGGAGAGCGCCAAGGCCTCAAGTTCAAGCCCCATGACCAACCAAAACAAAAAGAAGAAGACAAACTAATGGATTGAATGTAATATTGAAAGTAATATTCTTTCTTTTTCTTTTTGGTCAGTCGTGGGGCTTGAAAAGTAATACATTCTATGGTCAGTATTTAGGTTTTAAATTCTTCCAGGCCTAGGGCATTACTAACTCCTTTTCAGTTTGGAACCACATTTTTAAATTTTTCCCTGGAACACAGAATCCAAGACACTGCTATATGTAGAAAAGAAAGTTTGCCTTTTATTCCCTTCTTTTTTTTTCTTTTTGTTGGTCATTGGGCCTGAACTCTGGGCCTGGGCACTGTCCCTGAGCCTGTCTCATGCTGGGTTTTTTCTTCTTTCAGGATGTTGACAACGATGGGCCAGAGCCCTCCGACTGGGACAGGTTTGCTGCGGAGGAATACGAGGCTCTGGTGGCTGAAGAGGCCTCCCAGGCACAACTCCAGGAAGGGTGAGTAGGCCGCCCTGGTCCAGCGGAACCTTGCACAGCTCTGTCCACGGTAGGAATTCAAACTGCCTCAAAGCCCCTGTGTATGTATCAGACTGGAAGAGCAAAAGAATATGAGCGATGGAGCTAGGTCACTGATTCCTTCTAGCTGTCTTCCTTTCCTGAGTTCCTGCTTACTTTCTCATGTGCAATTTCCTTTAAAAAGCTGTGCCTTTCTTTCACAGAATCTAAGGTGAAGGGGCAGCCACACCCTCCTTTACTGATATTTGTGAGCCCCATAGGTTAAGGAGCTGGCTTTATCTTCTTGTCTTCTGTTCCAACTGTCTGCTCCTTTAAGTACTGAAGATGATAGGCCCGGCGCTGGTGGTTCACACTTGTCATCCTAGCTACTCAGGAGGCTGAGAATCTCAGGCACAAAAGTCCCATGAGAGGGCTGGGAAGGTGGCTCAGTGGTAGAGCACTTGCCTTGCATGCCTGAGGCCCTGAGTTCGATTCCTCAGCACCACATAAGCAAAAAGAAAAAGCCAGAAGTGGTGCTGTGGCTCAAGTGGTAGAGCACTAGCCTTGAGCTGAAGAGCTGAGGGACAGAGCCCAGGCCCAGAGTTCAGGTCCCACAACCGGACCCAAAAAAAAAAAAAAAAGTTCCACAAGACTCTTTACCTCCAGTTACCCCTCAGAAAACCTTAGTGGCCTTGTGGTTCCAAGTGATGGAGTGCTAGCTTTGCACAAAAGAGCTCAAGCCTGTCATCCTAGCTACTCAGGAGGCTGAGATCTTAGGATCACAGTTCAAAGCCAACCCCAGCAGAAAAGTCCCCATTAGACTCTTAGCTCCACTCAAAAGCTGGAAGTGGTGCTGTAGCTCAAGTGGTAAAGCACTGGCCTAGAGCACAAAGAGGCTCAAGAAAAGCATCCAGGCCCTGAGTTCAAGCCCACAACCAACTAAAAATAAAGCATGGCTCAAGTTGTAGAGTGTCTGTCTACCTAGCAAGCACTCGAGGCCCTCAGAAGGAGAGAAGAAAGGGAGTAGAGTAAAAATTTCACTGCTTGGAACATAATTAGCAATTTTTTTTTTTTTTTTTGGTCGGTCATGGGGCTTAAACTCTGGGCCGGGTGCTGTCCCTCAGCTCTTCAGCTCAAGGCGAGCACTCTACCACTTGAGCTACAGCGCCACTTCCGGTTTTCTGGTGGTTTATTGGAGATAGGAGTCTCACGGTCTTTCCTGCCCGGGCTGGCTTTGAACCGCGATCCTCAGATCTCAGCCTCCTGAGTAGCTAGGATTACAGGTGTGAGCCACCAACGCCCGGCCATGATTAGCAATTTTATAACTTGGTTTTTTCCCACCATTTTCTCGTGACTTTTAGCAAGTCCTCTTATCTCCCTTAACCCTGTGTATCTGAGGCTTTGCCCTCATATACTGAATATAATGTGACAGAATATTCACATAAACTTGCCGGGTGCCTTTGGCTCACGCCTGTCATTTTAGCTACTCAGCAGGCTGAGATCTGAGGATCGTGGTTCAAAGCCAGCCCAGGCAGGAAAGTCCCTGAGACTTACCTCCAATTAACCACCAGAAAACCGAAGTGGCATTTTGGCTCAAGTGGTAGAGTGCTGGACTTGAGCTGAAGAGCTGAGGGACAGTGCCCAGGCCCATAGTTCAAGACCCACAACTAACCAAAAAACATATAAATATTAAGCCAGGCAACAGTGGCTCACGCCTGTAATCCTAGCTACTCAGGAGGCTGAGATCTGAGGATCACGGTTCAAAGCCAGCCCAGGTAGAAAACTCCATGAGACTCTTTATCTCCAATTATCGCTGTGACTCAGGCGATAGAGCACTCTCACCTTGAGCTGAAGAGCACGGGGACAGTGCCAAAAAGTAGTTTTCCTTCCCCAGAAGCATCTCTGTGGACATTTGTAAAATGTAGACTTGTGCATATTTATTTCCCAAATAGATATTATTCATTGCTCAGTACCTTGTTTCTGCCAAACTTAGTAATATACTAGTAGGAGACTCTTCCATAATGTAATCTAGTGATTCTTCCTTATTCTGCTGTAGAGTTGAGCCATTATGTGGATTGACATACCTCTAACAGTTCCCTATTGGAAATCATAGTGTTGTAGTTATTACTCCTTTGTACATCATTATTTCTATGTGTAAGATAAATTCCTCGACCTGACTCTAACAAGTGTGGAAGAAAATGACCCCCAAAACTGGCAGTGACTTCACTCAGGGCTGGGGGACTGCTGTGGGTTTGTATTCTTTTCTGTAATTTATAAGGTTTGTATAATGAGCATGTATTAATAGGAAAATTATTTTTTCCTATTATCTGCTTACATAATACAGAGAAGTTAGAAATAAAAACCTTCACCTAAAAACCCACCACCCAGAAACAGTTTTGCTTTATTACTTAGGAATAATGTCGTAGACATTTCGACGCAAATACATAATCGGGCTTTACACCCTTTCTCCAAAATAACCTGTTTTACAAAAGTGCACCTACTATAACCTGCTTCAAAGAAAGGAGAAATTAGCTTGTCTAAACAGAAATACGTTTGAATAAAAAACGAGAGCAAGTGGTAGCTGGTAAAGAGAAAGAATTAACTGGCTCAAGTGAACATCTTTCTCAAGTTGTGGCTACAGCAGAAGGCACCAATATATGGAAGAGAGGACACAGGCAGAGTAGGTAGGGGTGAAGGGTCAGGAGAGGAGATGCAGACACCAGCTAAAGTGAAACTCAACCGGTGCACCTGAGACGCTCGTCTCCTCTCCTCTCCTCTCCTGTGCTGTGCTGGGAGGCAGCTACGCCTCCCCAGAACACGGGAGCGAAAGCTTACCCCAGCCCCAGCTTGCACCGCCAGTGCTAGGATAGCAGCAAGGCTAGGCCCTAGATCCCAAGGGTGCCCCACCTGGGACTTCAGGAAGAAGTGCAAGCAAGTCCGACATTGCCACACCCATAGGAGAGAGGAAGGAAAAACGTTGGTATCATGGAAAGTGCAGAGGCTCAGGAGCCAGACAGATCTGGCCCACTCGCCAGCTGGGCAGGTTATCCGACTCCTGGGGTTCGGGTTCAGAAGATACAGGCGGTTGTGAGAACCTGAAATAATATATACAAACACCTGGCTCCCGGTAACAGCACCTGTTACCACTGCCCGACTGGAAAGAGACCCAGTCTATAAGGCCTCTTCATCATCCAGTAGCTCCTGGGCTCAGGTGAAGGAGGCCCGAGGTCTTCGTAGGTACAAGGCTGCAAACCCTACAAAGCAGACTAGCCAGTATGGAGACCACAGCACACAGATCACAGCCAGAAAAACATTAAGTCTCAAGGCAATAGATAATGAGCCACTAATAGAGGTAGGTAGGCTTAGGAAGGTGCCAAAGGGAATTTCATGATACCAACCTCAATGAACAAATGCTCCAGAAGGAAAAGCAGGCACATTGGTTCTGAGCAGCACATGCATGCTAGGGAAGCCATAGAAAGGGGAATGGGGCCTGAATGTGGCGAGCCATGGCAGGAAATACAGCAAAGAAGCCAGGCAGGGCCTGGGGATGCCGATTCAGCAGGAAAGTGACATCATCTCACTTAGCGTTTTTGAACATTATTCTGCTCAATTGGAGAGATGGATAAGTAGGAAGACCAGGAAGCCTTTACTGACCTCTCTATAAAAGATGGTGGTGCTTAAGGATAATAAGATTTAAAAAAAAAAAAAAAAGCACCAGTGGTAGGTGACTAGCAAGGAATTGGGGAAACTTGGGCGACATACTACATGAGACGGGGTATTTGGAGCAATCAGATCCCAAGACCACCATCCAACCTGGTGTGGCAAAACAGCCTGACTGTGGTAAGCAAGGCCAGGAAGTGAACTGTTAGACCAAGAACTAACTCCCGGCCACAGAGGAACAGCTGCTTCCTCCACCTGAGTAGACAGGTGTGGAGGATCCCGTTTCCTACTGGGAGTAGCAAGTGTGTCTGCTGTTTCTCCCTACATTTGTCCTGTTACACTGAGAAATAAGTCCTTCCTAAAGTGCAAGGGATGACAGTGAACTTTTTTGTGTGCCGGTGCTGGAGCAGAAGCCCAGGACCTGCACTGTCCCTGCACTTTTTTTGCTCAAGGCTAGCGTACTCTACCACTTGAGCCACAGCTCCACTTCTGGCTTTCTTTCTGGTAATAGAGATGAGCCACTGGGACTTTTTTGCCTGGGCTGGCTTCAACCTCGGATCTCAGCCTCCTGAGTAGTGCCCTACTGTGTCTTCCATTCTGACAAAAAAATAACCACAGCTCTGGCAAATGATTGCTAGAGTAAACTTCTGAGAATATTCCCCAAAAGGAAGGCTCTGTAACCTGCTCTTCCCAACTATTAGAACTAAGTTGCTGTTCTAGTGCCTCTTTTTGCAAATATACTTCCATTAGGCCTCAGGAATGTGGGGAAGTAGTAGAAATAAGAATGGAATGGGCGGGGCTGGGAAGGTGGCTCAGTGGTAGAGCACTTGCCTTGCATGCCTGAGGCCCTGGGTTCGATTCCTCAGCACCACATAAGCAAAAAGAAAAAAAAAGCCGGAGGTAGTGCTGTGGCTCAAGTGGTAGAGCACTAGCCTTGAGCTGAAGAGCTGAGGGACAGCGCCCAGGCCCCATGGCCAATTAAAAAAAAAAAAAAAACACCAAAAAACCCCACAAAAAACAGGAGGAAATGTGCTTTCTGCTCTAGAGTGCTCGCTCTGCCCTCCTGGGCAACTCACTTGTTTCTAGCTGCCATTTATAAAGCAACTAATGGTACTTACGCAGGGCCTCAGGCTGGTTTGCCAAAATAACCCCTGCACAGCCATTAACTTAAAAAAAAAAATCTGTGGCTCACACCTGTAATCCCAGCTTCTTAGGAGGCTGAGATCTGAGGATTATGGTTCAAAGCAGTAAAATCAGTAAGACTAACCACCAAAAAGCTGGAAATGGCTCTGTGGCTCAAGTGGTAGAGTGCTAGCCTTGAACAAAGGTCAGGGACAGCGACCAGACAGGACCTGCACACACACACACACACAAAATCAGCAACCAACCAGGCACTGGTAACTCAAGGCCTCTAATCCTAGATACTCTGGAGGCTGATAGCTGAACAGGAAAATTCATGAGACCGGAGGTATGGCTCAAATGGTAGAGCACCTGCCAAGTAAGTCAGCCAATCCATCGAGAGGCCCTGAGTTCAAACTCCAATACAAAAGAAAAAAAATCAGCCACTTACTTTTGCTTTGCTCTTTCAGCTCCTTTGAGGAATATGAAACAGATGAACCTGCCTCCCCCTCTGAATTTGGAAACAAAGGCAATAAAACAGGAACCTCAAATCTTTCAGAGAAATGTGGCAAGCTTCAGCCCGTGGATGAAGAGTAGCTGCCACTGTCACAGGAAAGGAAGACGTAAATGCATTTCAAATACCTGTCCTTGTCAAGAGATGCTCCATAGTTTGCATACTGCTTTTTTAAAAAGGCTTTGATCCCTCTGCACTGCAGACCTCCAGGCTGATAACCTTTCACCTCAGGAGACTCCTTGAGCTTGCTCAGACTTCTTGCAGAGGCTTTTCTCAGAGGTGAACCAACCTAACGGTGATCATTACCTTCCACACCTTCCAACGTCTGCACCCCTGAATGCACCACCGCTCTCTTGGGAACAGTGCTGAGCCCAGCAGAAACTGCCTTAATGTTGGCCAGCTTCCCCAAGACCTCTCAGGGCTCCTATGGAGCCTAAAGGAAACCTTGATTTGCAGAAAACTTGAGTCAAAAAAAAAAAAAAATCTGGAACTTGGAAAGTATTAAATGGGCCTCCAGAATTGACGTAGCCCTAGTAATAAAAGCACTGCCAAAACATCTCAGAGACTTCTGTTAATTATGTGTACTGGAGTTCAAAGATCTTGAACTTAACCTGGTTTAATATAATTTCATGATGACCTACCGATCTACTAGTCACTTTACATCCTCAGGTATTGTAAACCACTGGGCCTTCCAATCTGGCTGACAAGCGATGGCAACCTCCCCATCGTGACTGGATAAAAATCTCAAGAACAACAAAAATTCCTTAAAAATGAAGACTAGTATAGAATTTGGCTCATACTTGAAAACAGCAAGCCTTCTAACTTACACATTTGTATAGAATTACTGAATGATTTCTTAATCTACAAGTTCATTATCTTTTATTTTCTAGCAGGCCCACTTAAAGCCTTAAAAGGAATGGTGAGATACTCTAAGAAAAAATTCTTCTAGATATACTGCTTTCTTCATGTCACCAAGATTAAACTGGAAGTAAACTCAAATCTACTATTCCAGACACCATAGAAATGGAAGAAAAGTGATAGCATGAGGTGGGGGGCGGGGGGTGTGAAGCTCTTATTGTGATGGCAATTATGTTCACTTCAAAATTTATGCTTCCCAACAGGTCACAGTGCCACCAAATCCCATAATAGCCAGGGTGGGAAGAGGGATGCAAAGAAAAAGACTAAAAAAGGATGGACATTTCTAATACAAGAAGCCCTCACTGAATGGCTTCAAGTCATCTCTGTCAAGAGCCATCAACTTTTCTCCTAGTTACTTGTGGCCAGGCTTGAAAGTACAGCTTCTCTCTGCCCTCCATCTTGGTTCCTTTGACCAATAAACAAACCTTGGGCTATGACAGACAGGAAATGAAGAACAGGATAATTTAAGAAATATATATCAACTAAAACATATGAGCAACCCCAGGAATTCTGCCTATCAATATCCAAGCCAGATTCCTAGTGGGATTTTTATCTTCATTAGAACTAATCTTCCATTTAACAGTTCAAAAGATGGATTTTTAAGTGTTTTTCTGCACTTGGGCACAAGCCTGTACTCTCAGCACTCAGCAGGCGTGAGGGCACTCTGATCCTGTCTCCAAATGGATTGTGACACATGAAATTTCCACCAGTTCCATCCCAGCTTCTACCAGGGAAGAAAAGCAACACTCTTTAATGCCAGATGAAAACACACAAGGTTAAAACTTTGAGAAATCAAATATGGTATGAATGTTTCACTATCCATAGTGATTCAAATTATTTGATTCACCAAAAAGTAGTAAAGAAACAAAACTCAAGTTTTATACTATTTAAACGAATGTAGAGCTGGGCTGCTTAGGCCTCACCTAGCCATTCTGCAGCCACATGTAACCTTTGTTTTCCTTGCTTGCCATGCCGGCAGTGAAAGCCAGGGTATTGCACAGCCAGGCAACTGCTGCAGCCCCAGCCCTCGTCTTGTTTCTCCTAACTGAAATTCTCTTGTCCACAGTTTGGTCAATAATTGAATTCTAAAAATCTGATCCCATTTAGAAGAGACATTTTCATTTTGATTAGCTCAAGAATTACAAGCATGTATTTCAGTACACTCCTTTCTTAAGCTGAATGCAATGAGTATAAATTCTGAGGACGAAGGTAATATATACTCCTTTCTGCCAAACTGCAAATTGCAAGCATCACAATACCCCAGGAGCCTTGATACAAGAGAAACTGAGTTATCATGACCTTGCATAACATTAGTTGCCCAGGTAATCAAAAAAAAAAAAACTGTTTCCCCTCCATTTTATGTTACTATGTACTGTTTCAAAGTATTTTTTTTAATAGATCTATCCAACAAAATGTCATTTTCTCAGCTTTTGAAAATGTGTGTTTGGGTGGAGAAGGCTGCATGACTTGTTCTTTTTGCAAAACAATAAAAGTTGACAAATAGATGAATCTTATTCACTAATCACATGAGTTTCAAATAGAGTAACTCTTTGTGGTGGGAACACTATGAAGAAAAGTTTTGTTTTGGTTGTTTTAAATCTAGCATGGCTGGGCCCTGGTGGTTCATGCCTGTAACCCTACTCAGGAGACGGACTTCCGAGGATCACAGTTCAAAGCCAGCCCGGACAGGAAGGTCTGGGAGACTTATTTCCAGTGAACCACCAGAAAACTGGAAGTGGCACTGTGGCTCAAGTGGTAGAACTCTGGCCTTGAGCTGAAGAGCTGAGGGACAGCGCTCAGATCCTGAGTTCAAGACCCACAACTGCCCACACACACACACACACACAATCTAGCCTGTAATGCAATGCTAGCTGCTTAAGAGGCTGGTCTGAGGATCACAGTTCAAAACGAGCCCAGGCAGGAAAGTCCATGACACTCTTATCTCCAAATAACCACCAGAAAACCTGAAGTGACACTATGGCTCAAAGTGGTAGAGCACTAGCACTTTGAGAAGAGTTCAAGGAATAGTACCCAGGGCGAGTTCGAGCCCCACAACCAGCTAAAAAATAAAAAATCTGGAAAGATATTTCAACCTGAGAAGTGCTTTCCACTTGGCATAGGGTTGGCCAAGGTACAGAGGTGAGGGTTCACAGGCGTTAGAGGGGGGCACTAGCTTATCCGTCATGTGTTATGTTCAAAGAATGTATACTTGCATGTTATTTGGTACCTAAAATTTGTAAAGTAGTAGAAAAAGAAATTACTGTCCAAAGTACATAAAGACACTACCAGAATTTGAATTCAATGTTTCCTAAAGCACTTAGTTACCTATAGAATGTTCAAAGACAATTTTATTTCTCATGTTATGAAATCTCTACTTTTCTTCAGTAAGGTAACCGTGGAGTCATTTCAAGAAAACAACAAAAGGAAGTAAATGGAATTCCTCCCCAAGAACCATACTGCATCTCTACAGTACAGAAGAGCTGAGCTTAAGTTAACCAAAATGATAGAACTGTCAGCTGCAAAACTATTGCCTAAGGTAAAAGACAATTTGGTTGTTTATGATCATAAGGACTGAAATAATGAAGGTAGTAACATGATGGCAATGAGGACTGAGGACGACACTCAGGATGGGCTGTTCTAAGTGCTGTTCTGGTTTGGTTGTTCTGTGGCCTGAAGAGGGGAAGTCCAGGACACCCAGTCAGTAGTAATCCCCTTGTCAGTCATTGGTCAGAATTCCTAAACAACTCATGGTGTAAAGACAAACGTGAAAACCAAAGCAATATAGTTCTTCTTCCCCAAATTAGTACAGACCGTTTACAGCATGCTGTCCCAAACTCCTCAGTATTCTACAACATACAATTAGAAAACTATCATTTATTGATAGATTTAAGGTGTAATACAGGTTTTCAAAAGTGTGGCAGTGAGAATACCAGCATAAAAAAGAGAAACTTGTGCTAAAAACAACCTGAATTCATCATTGGCAATATTACATAACAATCAAGGTCCTCACATGCTAATGATTTTCACTTTGCCTATATTGCCAACCTCCCATGCATCAAAAAAACACAAAACTAAGATTATCAAACCTGGGAAGCAATAAAGTACTCCATAATTTTAAAATCATAGTATTAGGAAAGTTTGGGAGATTTGCAAAATATATTCTAATCATCCATGTGTACAATTTCATTTCTAGTCATTTTTGCAGTGATCATTAGTGAATAAAGAACAGATTTACAAGTTTATATAGCAGGGCATCTGGGTTCAACACAAAACTGTTACAAACTTTAGGTAAATACATTTTTCATTAAGACACAGCTAACACTTAGAGGAATTAAATAAAATTCCAAAACTTGGAAAGCAAATAAAGACAAGACAACTAAGAAGCATTTTCCACCATTTACTCTTGTTATCAAAAATAGTTCAACTCTTCTTGCAAAACAAAAACAAAATAGTACATACGGGACACATACATCACATTTTTCTTCCTATGGCTTTAGCCCACCCCCACCCCACCAAAGAGACCAAAAGGAAAAAAAAAAAACGCACACGCACGCGCACACCCACACACACACACACAAAAAAGACAACAAAACAACTCTACCTGACCACATTCACAGAAAATGACACCAGGATACACTACAAAACAGAAGAAGGTGTCATCTGCTCTGTGTCCAAAGGATTCTTCTCCATGTCTTGTACGAGGTGAGTAACCATCATTGAACATGCTGTGTGCCAAATCAAAACATAACTCCAACACTTGTCAGATCTGGAGACATAATAGGAACTGGGATCTTCCCAGCAGTATGTTCTTACAGTAAGCACTGTCAAAGTAGCAACTCTTTAAAATCAAGGTTGTCTCTATACCTAGTCAGTCCTCGTCTACTTGGGCTGTGCTCTTCAAACAACTGACCAGATTTCCCTTCAACAGAATGTTTGTTTTCCCCTTAAAAATTAAAGGGAATTAGTACATTTAAACTGAAACAGTTTGTGCTTTACATGCAAAAAAGCATTCTAAAGAAAATCCTCCTAGCTTTAGACCTACCTAACTGCACAGGCTTCATAAAAAGGCATTTTATTAGGCCCCGATAAAGAAGCCAGCATAATGAATAGCACCCTGAAAAAAAAAAAGAGCATATTCAAAATAAAGTCTGTGGCAAATAAACAGAAGAGTGGCCAATGGCAATTAATAGAATGCATAAATATAGGTATGTTTGGGGCATTATTCCAAAAAAATTTCAAATAAATCCCAATTTCTAAATAAAACCTTTAAACTTAAAAAAAATATTGTCATGTACTATTGTCTGAATTCAAATACCTTCAGAATAAATGCTCTTCACATCATTTATCCAATTAGAATGTTGCTCAAAGGAAGGATCTCAGAATTTTTCCCTAGAAATGAGTCAGACCTCGCAAGACAGGCGGTTCAAAGTTTTGTAGGAAAAATAGTTAAGGATCTGTAGTCTGACAATCTGTTCACATTTTTTTCAAAAGACAGATTTCTTAAACATTCTAATGAGGGGGAAATTTTCTTCCATAATACTGCTGATTTAAGAACTGCTACATACCAGTAGCTAATTTTCATGATCTTAGAAATGGTATTAAATAGTCAGCACAAAAGTTGAACTGGGCACATCAGCGTTTCAACAGAAGAAACGTCAGTGTGGCATGAGAGCTACACTTGAGTCTTCGGGATAAACTAGTGGCTACTTTTTCACAAAGAGAGTCTCACAATCTATATGGACTGACTCGATACCACTTCCTTACATTTAATCATAAACTTTGATTATGCACAAAGCATGACCAGAAACAATGAGGTTAATGTTATTCTCCTTGCCAAAGTTCATTCTGTATAAATCAGTTGCATCAGCATTTGTTCTTGAACTATGAGGTTCTGTAAGAACTAAGAACATAACAGTTGTAGGGTTACTCCTCCATTATCTGAAAACTATTTCCCCGACACTAACACATATAACTTATCAATGAAAACACTTGATACAAGTGATCTATATGCAGGAGCTCCGGCAAGTTAAACCAACAGAACCATAGCTGCCGTAAAACTGTAGCTATTTCCCTACCAGAGGTAGGTTTGAAGACCCACTGATTTAACAGTCGAATCTCATGTCTATAGCTTCATCCAAACTTTTATCATCATGTGTACTGGCAGCTAAAAACGTCGTTACTGGGGACCCTGTGACATTAATTACACTGGTGCTGGTACTAGCGTTACGCACAGCAATGCTAGTCACATTAATGCCCAAAGTGAGCCTGGTCTGCTCCAAGGCCTTTTCTGGCACAGCAAATGCCTCCAGCTTCTTCTCCCCATTGGCCATATAGGAGTTTTGGCAGCCTCGACATATACAATCTAAGCAGGCTTTCCGGTTAGAGTAGCAAGGGCAGCGCTGGCCACGGCATGTAAGAACACTTGGGTTCTGAGTAGCACGTCCACATTTACACCCTTTCTTCTCCTGGGGCTTTTTGTACACAGTCTTGGTGGGACTTCCTGGCATAAAGTGATGACTAGGAAGCTTTTCCTTGACAGCTTTGTCTTTCTTTAGAATACCCGGCTTGGTTTTAGAGTGAGACTTCTTGGATCCATGTTCATGACTCTTCTTCATGCTTTTAGTAGATAAAAGGACAGTTTTGCTGATTTTGGGTGTGGTGCCTCCATTGGGAACAGTTGCTATGGGTTGGAGAGAGATTTTGCTCTCTCTCTTCACTGTCACAGGAGCAGATGCCCCCAGCGTTGGGCCTCGGATAATGGTAGAAATTGGAAGTGGCTGAACTTTTTCACTGTCGCTTTCTGACCTGGACCGTTTCCTATTTAATTTTGCTACCTTGGGAGTTGCTGCTGTACATGATAACCCATGAAGTGCCGGACTGGTTGACATAAAAACATTATGGCTAAGAGACTGGGAAGAAAGCTGCAAAAAAGGTCCATTGGATACAGTGGCTTCCAAGTTTGGCTGCAAATTAGGACAACAAACCTCTGTATTTGAAACAGTTTCTAAGCTGCGGAGTACTTCCTCCACACTCAGTAAGAGGGAGTCACCGGGTTTGATGTCTTCACTGAAACTGCAGATATCAATGCCGGTGGAGCATAGATCCGTGGCTACTGTGTCACACACAGGTGGCAGGCTGTCAGACAGGTCCTCCGTTTTTATGTCAACGGTATTACACACATCAATAGTATTTGAGTGTTCAGGTGAAGGGATATTTATACCAAACCGGTCTATCGAGAGCCCATTGTAAGTAGGCAAACCATTGATAACAGAACTGCCGATAGCAATGCTGAGAGTACTTTCAGACATTGGAGATAAACTAGCTTGAGGATTAGTCGTGACTTCTGAGGTTGAAGGTAAAGGGGAATGTGTCAAACACAAAGTAAAAGATGAATCTGAGGGTTTTTCTGTCTCCTCACAGAACAATGATCCATCATTGAGCAAAGCCAAAATATCAGAAGAGCAGTCAACTGCTTCAATTATATCCCGTGCCAGTGTGGTCTGTGTTATGTATTCACACAGTTTTTTGTAGCAGTTCACAAGGATGCTTAACTGCTTGTTTTCCTCAAATTGCTCATAGTCTTTGCACCAGCTACACGAAGGTTTCATCATCATTTTCTTTCCTTTACAGGTTTTGCAGACATAGTGTTGGCAGGTAGAGTTGGTAGGTGCAATAGGGTCTTGTAGCAGGTGTCCTAAAGGGATAAAGGGAAGCAAAGATTTTAGTAAAATTATTTCGTTTCCTATCATATACTGGGGTGAAGATGACATGAATCTATCCAGACTGAGATGAGTTCAAACTCACCAGACCAAGTAACAATCCACCTTATACAAACTGGAGGAATATTCAATAGTACTCTGTGCCATATTCTCCCTCCTTTTATCTCAAACTAGAATCTTCAAAGGCTAAGTTAAAGAAGATCTGTTATGGAAAGCTTAAGCTAGGTTCACAACTCTCGAGATCTAGTGCAATGTCACATTGCTACAACACATCAGTTTTGTGTTCACCAGTGGGAAGAGAGCCAATGAGATTTGGTCTTTGCCCTTACAAGTCTTTCCTCTTTAGTGCTGGGATATAGTGGTAAAGTACTTGTGTAGCAAGCTTGACTCCAAGGGATCAAGCCCCAGCACTGAAAAAGAAAAGACAAAAAAAAAAATTTAAAGCAAAAGTCTTTCCTCTTTAACTCATGACTTAACTTCTATTTGGAATTGTATGTTAACATGCCATTTTAGATACATGGTTATCTATTTCTTTTAACTTGATTCAGCCACCCACTGGTGGCTCACACCTGTAATCGTAGCTATTCATGAGGCTGAGATCTGAGGGTCATAGTTCATTGACATTCGGAGTAGGAAAATGAGACTCCTATATCTCCAGAAAACCAGAAGTAGAGCTGTGGCTCAAAGTGGTAGAGCACTAGCCTTAAGCAAAAGAGCTCAGGGACAGCTCTTAATCCTGAAGTTCAAGCCCCATGATGGACCAAAACCAAAAATCTGGTTAGTTTTTGGTGTACCAAGGCCAGGACACAGTACATGAGCGCCTTTGCTCAAGGCTGGTACTTTATACCACTTGAGACACAGTCCCAATTCTGTTTTTTTGGTGTGTGTGTGTGTGTGTTTTTTTTGCTAGTCTCCTGGACTCTCCTGCCTGAACTGGCTCTGAAACACAACCCTCAGCTCTCAGCTCCTGAGTAGCTATGATGACAGGCACTGGTGGCCAGCTTGATTAGGAAAAAATAAAAATTTTTTGGGACCATTTTAGAGCTTGAATTCCCAAAGCTCTTTTGTAAGGCCAGTGCTCTACCACTTTAAGCCACAGCACCACTTCCCGTTTTCTAGTAGCTAATTGGAGATAAGAGTCTCATGGGGACTTAATGCCTGGGCTGGCTTAGAACCATGATCCTCAGATCTTAGTCTCCTGGGTAGCTAGGATCACAAGTGTGAGCGATCAGTACCCGGTAAAACTCCATTAAAAGAAAAGTTAGATGGGCTGGGAAGGTGGCTCAGTGGTGGAGTGCTTGTCTTGCATGCACGGGGCCCTGGGTTTGATTCCTCAGCACCATGAAAGCAGAAAAAGCCGCAAGTGGCACTGTGGCTCAAGTGGTAGAGCGCTAGCCTTGAGTTGAAGAGCTGAGGGACAGCGCCCAGGCTCAGAGTTAGTTCAATCCCCATGACTGACAAAGAAAAAAAAAAGATAAGACACAAAAAGAACACTGTAAACAATACAGCAACAAATAATCTAATACCTACTCACAAATTCATTTTTGTGTTTTTGGTGACAGTCCTGGGGCTTGAACTCAGCAACTGGACACTATCCTGGAGTTTAGTGCTCCAGGCTAGTGCTGTAGCACTTGAGCTACAAAACCACTTCCAGCTTTTTGTATGTAATTCAGAATAAATAGTCTCACAGCCTCCTCCCCAGGCTGACTTCAAACCAAGTAGCTGCGATTACAGGCCAGAGTGGCCAAGCATGCGCTGGCTCCTGCTCAATATTTGAAAGTTACTTTTCATAACTAGAACTTTAACCCACAGACACTGTATTTTGAAAAAGTGCAAATTAAGAATTTAAGGAAAACCTGGAGGGTGGCTCATGCCTGTCATCCTAGCTACTCAGGAAGCTGAGATCTAAGGATCAAGTTCAAAGCCAGCCCAGGCAGGAAAAGCAGTGAGAGTCTTATCTCAATAAACCACTCAGAAAAAAAAAAACGGAAGTAGTGCTGTGGCTCAGCTCAAATGGTAGAGTGCTCGCCTTGAGCTGAAGAGCTGAGGGACAGTACCCAGGACCAGTTCAAGCCCCATGACCGACCAGAAAAGGAAAAAAAAAAAAGGGAATTTAAGGCAAGGCAGCGTTGCCCAGAGTTTAAGCCCCAGTACCAACATCAATAAAACAAAATAATAGGATTTTAATTTTTTTGGGGTCCAGTCGTGGTGCCTGAACTCTGGGCCTGGGCGCTGTCCCTCAGCTCTTCAGTTTGAGCCATAGTGCCACTTTCGGCTTTTTTTCTTTTTGCTTATGTGACGATGAGGAATCGAACCCAGGGCTTCAGGTATGCAAGGCAAGCCACCTTCCCAGCCCAGGATTTTAAAAATTTTTGATTGCCTACTGGGAGAGACAGAAGCAAAATAGGAACAAACAATTCAAGTTTTACTAAGTTTTCCATTCAAATTGCTAATACTTTATAAGTATTTAAACTTTTAAAGAACATCTACAAAGCAAGAGCAAAATGAAGATAACTGTAATTTTACATCAAATATGACAGTACAATCAGAGTAACTGCTTCAGATGACTTTATAATAATACACAAAAGTGACTCCCATCCTTGGATCCTTATTTTTCTTGTTTTCAGTCATCACTGTTGGTGGCAGTGTAAGTGTTGGTGTGTATTATAGGATTGATATTCTTGATATAGCTAAACATTTTTTTTTTGCTTATGTGGTGCTGAGGAATCGAACCCAGGGCCTCATGCTTGCAAGGCATGCACTCTACCACTGAGCCACCTTCCCAGCCCCTAGCTAAACATTTTTTTAAGTAGGAGGAAAAAGCTGTAAGCCAGAAAAGGATGGAAGATAAAAAATCCTGTATTTCACCAAATATTATTTTGCTTTACAAGTCACCTTCTAACTAAATGATTTGTTTTAACAAGGCCTATTATGTGTGTTCCCAGCTTCACTTTTGGCCTTTGGTAGTTAATTGGAGAGAGAAGCTCACAGGATTTCCTACCCAAGGCTGGATTCCAACAGTGATCTTCTGATCTCGGCCTCCTGAATAGCTAGGATTACAGGTATGAACCACTGACACCCAGCTGAACACTTATTTTAAAAACAAGAGGGCTGGGAATGTGGCTTAGTGGTAGAGTGCTTGCCTTGCATGCATCAGGCCTTGGGTTCAATTCCTCAACACCACATAAGCAGAAAAGGCCAGAAGTGGCGCTGTGGCTCAAGTGGTAGAGCGCTAGCCTTGAGCTGAAGAGCTGAGGGACAGCGCCCAGGCCCAGAGTTCAGGCCCCACAACAGACCAAAAAAAAAAAAAAAAAAAGGTTAACCAAGTTACGGTAAAGCCCCTGAGTTTAACTTTTGTTTCTTAGACTAATCTAGAACTATGATCTAGCACTCGAGTGATAAATCAGTAATTTATTTAAGGTAGGCCTCAACAATCAATCATCATTAGAGTCGAGAAAAGCAAGCAGGCACTCACCACAGATTATTAAATGGATGATGTATAAACTACTCAGGTTCTCAACCTATTCATGAACCCTCCTCAGGTCATTTCATATTCTAGTAAGAAGAAAAGGAGAGTGCTAATAACTGCATAGGGGAGACATTTATAAAGTATTTGCAGTTAAGAGCACCTTTGAATATTCCTTTTTCTTATTTTAACAAAGTGGTGATAATCACTCATGAAATTACCAATAAAACAATACAGGCTGGTCAAATTATGCACAATTACATACATCCAAAGCTGACCAATAAATCTAGATTAAAAAATATACCAAAATTGGGCCAGACACCAGTGGCTCACCCCTGTAAGCCTAGCTACTATGGAGGCTGAGATCTGAGGATCCAGGTTCAAAGCCAGCTGGAGCAGAGGAGTTCCCATGAGACTTGTTATTTCCAGTTAATCATCAGAAAATCAGAAATGGAGCTGTGGTTCAAAGTGATAGAGCACCAGCCTTGAGCAAAAGACCTCAGGGACAGAGCCCAGGCCCTGAGTTCAAGTCCCACAGCCAACCAAAAAAAAATTTTTTTCAAAGTGTACCACAGAACCAGGTTTACTTTTTACCTTCTTAATACTCATCCCAACATACAACAGCATCTTTAAAACTGATTACACTTAACAAGAAACATCATTTGCAGTTACTGGCACTCACTCTTTTATACTAAAGTACTGTTTTTCACATGTTTAAGATGACCGCCAAATCTCTCCCACCAAGCCCAACAATCAAAATACAGATTACAAAGCCTCAAATTCCAACTCAACTCTGCTACAATTAAGAATCTGACTTTGAAAGTTGGGCCCTGGTAGCTCACACCTGTAATCCTAGCTAGTCAGGAGGCTGAGATCTGAGGATTGGAGACTTATCTACAATTAATCACAGAAATAAAATGGTGTTGAGTGGTAAAGTGCTAGTCTTGAGCAAAAGGAGTTTAGGAACAGTGTCCAGGCCCAGAGTTCAAGGCTCAGGACCAGGTGGGGAAAGAATGTTGAGTTTTGGTTGGGGCTGATGACTCTGCTTGCATGCATGCCTGGCGATTCAGAGGAGACTGACAAAAGTACTAGCAAAAAGCTGGAAGGAGAGCTGTGGTGTGGTTCAGGTATCAGAGTCCCAGGTTTGGGCAGAAAAAAGTCAAGTGTAATGAGTGAAATGGTCAAACAAATGACACAGTATAAAACTAGTTCATGATTAGTATTCAAATCATATAAAAAGTTCCTTGCTATTGTTTTCTCAGACATGAGCAAAGAATTTCTGCTAAAGAGTGTCAGATTCTAGATCCTTAGTACTTCTGCATTCAGTGTGGGTCCTGAATGTTTTGTTTTACAAATGACCAAATGAGAAGAATAAGGAAATTGAAACAGAAAGTCTTTCATAAAGCTCAATCTATTTAATTTTATAAAGACTATTTCTTATTCCCAGAGCATGTCCTTAATACTCTGATTATACTAAAATGTTCTCTTTGCAGTGGCATTAAGTATTACCCACCAACAAATAGGTCTAGAGTACAAAAGTGAGCAAGCATAGCAAGGCTCCCAACCCTCCTCACAGTGGGATTTACCCGCTAGCCACTATGAAATGATAAGGTTTTCTGAGTACTTAAATGTGAAAAAGCCAGGCGCTGGTGGCTCCCGCCTGTCATCCTAGCTACTCAGGGGGCTGAGATCTGAGGATCACAGTTCAAAGCCAGCCCAGGCAGGAAAGTCCCTGAGACTCTTATCTCTAATGAACCTCCAGAAAACCAGAAGTGGCGCTGTGGCTCAAGTGGTAGAGCGCTCGCCTGGAGTTGAAGAGCTGAGGGACAGCGCCCAGGCCCAGAGTTCAAGCCCACAACCAACCAAAAAATAAAGTTGGCCACCATATGTCATCCTCTGTCCTTGGAAAATATGAAATTTACAGCCCATTACTATTTTATTTTTTAGTTATTTTTTTGTCAGTCCTGGTGGAGCTTGAACTCTGGGCCTGGGCGCTGTCCCTCAGCTCTTCAGCTCAAGGCTA